AATGTACGATGTAACTTTACTATCTGTCCCCACCAGTGAATTGGCAATTAAAATCGTAGCCAGAAATCTACCACTTAGCTTGTCGTGAGGATTAATAAGTTATAGCTTTTAATGTTTTGTATCCTTTGGAGAAGGGTGATTTATCAGAAGCTGCTGTGCTGTTTCTGTAACGCTCCTTAAGTAGACACTTTCTCTCTGCTCTAAATTGTTGAGTCACTACAAGGTTTTGGGATTTAAGTGGGATGGGAATTGTTTCAATCAACATTTTGCTCATGTTAAATTTAAGAACATTTTTGTGATATTTTGCCTTATTCACATTTTTTTGACTCTTAGAATTTACATTATTTTTGCCTTCTTCCCTTGTATTATACAAGCAATTTGTGTTTATGGTGGCAACATTACATAAGCCAGAAAATAAAAAACAAAAGAATCTTATCACCTACTTTTTAAAACTGAAATGAGGTCATAGTATTTATTTTATTTTTTAACACCTTTTTTCCTACTTAACAGTTTTTTGTTTTAGTAATATTTGCTTTTTCTCCATAGGTTATAATAATAGTGCAAATAATGTGCTCTTGTGCCAGGCACTAAGTTAAGTAATTGAAAGTATTTTATGTAATCATTTCTGCAGCCTTCTGAGGTCAGCTCTGTTATTTGCAGATGAAGAAGTTGAGGCAACAAAATAGTTAAATGATTTAAATACGGGTGGAGCCAGATGTGAACCTGGACCTACTCCTCTTACCTGTGACTGGGGTTGGGGGTGGGGAATGATATTGCATCTCGGCACAGCATTTCAAGTCAATGAAGGGAGGCGGGTGTAGAGTCCAGTATATATATATTTTTAGCAGTTTTGATACAGAAAGATAAAGATTTAGGAGTTAGGAATGGAATTTCTTCTGAAGACATCACTTTTCCCCTTCCCTGTTTATTGAGAAAAATTGTTTAGTAACTACTCTTTTCATTGCACTCCATGGGGATTTTGAGACCACGGAGGGAGTGTGGGCAAGATTCATTTGCCTTTGAGGCGTATATGATTAATGTCAAGTTCTCAGATGTGCTTTCAGAGGGTCAGAGAAATATTGAAAGAGGTGGGATTTGAGTCAGCAGATTTTTCTTTAAGTTGCAGATTTTAAAGAACTAAATAATTCTGAAATAACTTTGGAATGTTGATTGCTTAAGTACCTTCTGTGGTGTGATGTTAATTACAACCCACTTTTTGTGTGTGCTGGGTGAGCATGGGCTTTCCATACGTTTTGTGGAAGCTGTGTAACATCTGTGTCCTTGCTTGGGTCCCAGAGGGAGGCTGCTTCCTGTGATTGCTGAGACAGAGTGTAGTGCTTTTGGGCAGTAGGCTGCCATATACTCCTCTCACTCATTGTATTAATCATCTGACAGTGATAATGTGCCTCCTTGCACGGTTAGTGCTAAGTCACTTCAGTCATGTCTGACTCTGCACCCCTGTGGACTGTAGCCTGCCGGCTCCTGGGTCCATGGGATTCTCCAGGCAAGAGTATTGGAATGGGTTGCCATTTGCATGGCTAGTACCAGCTGTATACTGTTATCAGTTTGCAAGAGGATATTGAGTTGATTGGAAGATCAGATAGTGGTTTTTGTTTATGGTAGAAAATGCTTTTCCTATTATTAAATTGACTCAAGGTATTTTGAAGAAGAGCTTATTACATTGGTTCATCTGTCAATTGAACCAATGTAATAATGCAGCTATTTTTTAAATTACATTAGGAATTACTTTTAAATTTAAAATCAAAAATAGGAAAAGTGGACATAGAACAGTTATACAGAATGCTGTATGCCAGCAAGTCCATAAGGATAAAACTCTAATCCTCAGAAGGTCTAGTTTAATGAATATAGGATGTTTGTTAAAGGCATTGTAAGCTTAGAGTGAGAGATTTTTGGCAATCACATAGAGTGGTAGACATGTTTGACCTGTAAGTGTAGCTCAGACAGTGAAGAATCTGCCTGCAGTACAGGAGACTGAGGTTCGATCCCTGGGTCGGGAAGACCCTCTGGAGAAGGGAATGGCAAGCCACTCCAGTATTCTTGCCTGGAGAATCCCATGGACAGAGGAACCTGGTGGGCTACAGTCCATGAGTATCAAAGAGTTGGACACGACGGACAACTAACACTTTTCTCAGTCATTTACTTAAATATTTTGATATCAATGATTTGAATTGTCATACTGTGAAGTCTTAGTGTAGTACTACACGGCTTACCATCCTATGTTGATTTTTATCTAAAGATAAAATGTTTGACCAAAATGGAAGTTGCCCTCATTTTTTTGAGGGAGGAGGTTGCTTTTAGTTCAGTGATGCACAAACTTTTTGGTCTCAAGGCCCCTTTTCACTTTTAAAAAATGTCTAAAACCACAAAGAACTTTGGTGGGTTATCAATAGTTGATTAGAAACTTTGAGAAATTTAAAGAATAATTATTTACTGGGACTTCCTGGTGATCCAGTGATTAGGACTCTGCTTTCACTGCCTAAGGCATGGGTTCAGTCCCTGGTGGGGGAACTGTGATCCTACAAGCTGGGCAGTGTGGCCACAAATTAAAGGAAAAAAATAATTCATTTAAAAATAACCTATTACATATTATGGATAATAACTTTTATCAGAACAACAAAAATTAAGTGGTAATGGCATTATTTTACATTTTTGCAGATCTTTCTAGTGTCTGGCTTAATAGAAAACAGCTGGGTTCTCATATCTCCTTCTGCATTCATTCTGTTGTGATAATGTTGTTTTGGAAGTATGTACAGAAAATCTGACCTCATACAAATGTGTAGTTTGGAAAAGAGACAAGTATTTGTAGCCTTTTAAAGTGTGCATATCCTTTGATACTGCCCAAACTTGACAAGTAGTAATTTCATAAAGGATAGCCGCACCGTGGAATCTAAAGCCGTATCAGTGAGCGTTTCATACTCTGTCAGATTAATCCATTTGGTCTGTCTTGCACTTACTTTTACCCATGCACTAGTTTCTAAGGAGCATTGGTCATTTGGTCATTGACAGAGTTATGCAGATCTTCCAAAAAGTTGACACATTTCATTATGTGGTATCCAATTCTCATTCACTGGTATCAGTAGTAGTCTGTTTAATCAGAAATGACTTTAAATATTGGGGAAATGTTCCAAGTTCATGGTGGTGGATACACATTTTCAAAATACTTATTTTTGCGTAAAAACTCGGATTTTATCATTAGCAACAGACCTCATATTGGGTTTCCTTGAAGTGATTAGGTTCACTTTGTTCATTTGCAAGAAAATGTCTGCTCAATATCCAAAAGTCTGTATAATCATAGTTTGTCAGTTGTTCTGCCAAGTAAAAATAGTGTTACATGGAAGAAGCTTCTAGTTCAACTTGTAACTCAGTTTTCTTAAAGCAGTAGAAGTGCTTTATGTGTACCTTACCTTTCATTGCATAGAATATTTAGATACGCATATACACATGCACTGAAGACTTGAGTGGAGATTTAATAAAGTTCATAATTTCTGTATTTCATCAAGGATATCAAAGGTCATTATAATAACCTTTTAAAAAAACTTTTATTTTTTAACTAAATAAGTAAAGAATACAGTGACCAGAGGCTATTAGTACAGTTAGATACCTCTGCTCTTGATTTTTGCTAAGGTACCAGCAATTTTGCTCAGACTTGTTTTTGCATCCTTATTGCAAACGTTAACACTATGGAAAAAGGCAAATAATGTTTAATATTATTATGAAAAGTTTGATCTTGTGGACCTCTGAAATGGTCTTTGAACTCTCAAGAAATTTGTAGGCCACACTCTAGTACCTGCTGGCTTAGTTCTTTAGATTTCCTTTTACTCTCAGACCAGATAAATCAAAAGGGATGAAGAAGAGGCACACTGCTGAGGTTTTTAGCTGGGGTTACTTGGTGAAAGTAATTTCCTGAGATGATAAAACTGGGTAAGAAGTAAAACGAAATTCAGTTTTGAGCTTCAGGGGGCTTGAGGTACCTAGAGGTGAGGATGTTGATTAGTGCAGCTGATCGTGTTTTTCTGAGCGACCAGAGGACTTACACATTGCTATCAAGATTGTTGCCAAGGAAGTGAGTTGAGAGGGAAGAGGGCAGAAGGGACCTTGTTGTCAAGGACATCGGGAAGGAGGAATTTCCAGAAGAATGGGGTGGTGAGCACTACCTAATGCTTCAGAGAAGTCAGATAGAATGGGGACTGAGACTTGAGCATGGGATTTGATCATGAGATTGCTTGTGACCTTTGCCAGAGCCGTAGGAGTAGAAGGCAGATAACAGAAGAGTGAGAAGGGCAGAGGCAGCTATTTATAACTATTCTTTCAAGAAGTTGTGAAGAAAAGAGACACATTGATTGGGCAATTAATTTGAGAGGTGGGCCATACTGAGGACAGTGGAAAGGAAAGAAAATTGATTAAATAAACTGGCATTACTGGTGTGATACAGTAAAGCTTTTAGTATGATCTATCTTACAGAGAAGTGGGAAGCTGACAAACATTGGATCCTTTGGCCAGAAATGTACAGACATTTGGCATGCAGATTTTGGGTAGGAAATGAGTTCTTACTACTTCTTTTCTGTTTGATTCCTGGTGTTTAGTTTGATACATTTGCTTTAAATTCACTAGTTTCAAGAAGTTTTAAAGCTATTTTTCTTTTAAATGCAGATGATTTGACTTTAAGAGTCTGTGACTACTTTCAATGTATGGTAACAAGTGACTAAAAGGAAGGATGGGATTGATTCTTTTGTAGAAGAGTTGTGGCCCCGCCCCAACACCCTCCCCTTTAGGTTTGAGTATTTTCTTTCTGAAGACAGTTTGGCTAACAGCCTCCATAATGTTTGTATTAAAAACATGTGTGTTGTTTTCTAATGTGTTTGTATTTCTAACTTCCTTTTCTTCTTTCTCTTCTAGTCTGTTCTCTGGGGAGGCGGTAAGGGGCTGTGGAGCTGGCCTCGGCACCGGGAGAGGCTGGACTTCCTGTCTCTCTGTGCTGAATGGCTGCGATGGCGCCCGCTCTCACTGACGCAGCAGCTGAAACACACCATATCCGGTTCAAACTGGCTCCCCCATCCTCCACTTTGTCCCCTGGCAGTGCCGAGAATAACGGCAACGCCAACATCCTTATTGCTGCCAACGGAACCAAAAGAAAAGCCATTGCTGCAGAGGATCCCAGTCTAGACTTCCGAAATAACCCTACCAAGGAAGACTTGGGGAAGCTGCAACCACTGGTGGCATCTTACCTCTGTTCCGATGTGACATCTGTTCCCTCGAAGGAGTCACTGAAGTTGCAAGGTGTCTTCAGCAAGCAGACAGTACTCAAATCTCACCCTCTCTTATCTCAGTCCTATGAACTCCGAGCTGAGCTGTTGGGAAGACAGCAAGTTTTGGAGTTTTCCTTAGAAAATCTTAGAACCATGAATACAAGTGGTCAGACAGCTCTGCCACAAGCACCTGTAAATGGGTTGGCGAAGAAATTGACTAAAAGTTCAACACATTCTGATCATGACAATTCCAGTCCCCTTAATGGGGGAAAACGGGCTCTCACTTCATCTTCTCTTCAGGGGGGTGAAGTGGTAGCATCTGAATCTGGGGACTTGAAAGGGGGTATGACCAATTGCACTCTTCCACATAGAAGCCTTGATGTAGAACATACAACTGTATTTAGCAATAATAGCACTGCAAACAAACCTTCTGTAAATTCCATGGAACAGCCAGCACTTCAAGGAAGCAGTAGGTTATCACCTGACACAGACTCCAGTTCTAACGTGGGGGGTGTCAAGTTAGAGGGTAAAAAGTCTCCCCTGTCTTCCATCCTTTCCAGTGCTTTAGATTCTGACACCAGGATAACAGCTTTACTGCGGCGGCAGGCTGACATTGAGAGCCGGGCCCGCAGGTTACAGAAGCGCTTACAGGTTGTGCAAGCCAAGCAGGTGGAGAGGCACGTACAGCATCAGCTGGGTGGATTTCTAGAAAAAACTTTAAGCAAGCTGCCAAACTTGGAATCTTTGAGGCCCCGGAGCCAGTTGATGCTGACTCGAAAGGCCGAAGCTGCATTGAGAAAAGCTGCCAGTGAGACCGCTGCTTCAGAGGGACTTAGCAACTTCCTGAAAAGTGATTCGATTTCAGAAGAATTGGAGAGATTTACAGCCAGTGGTATAGCCAACTTGAGGTGCAGTGAACGAGCGTTTGATTCCGACATCACAGACAGTAGTTCAGGAGGAGAGTCTGATATCGAAGAGGAAGAACTGACCAGAGCTGACCCTGAGCAGCGCCATGTACCCCTGTAAGTAGAGTCATGCATAATGTCATTTTTCAGAAACGTCTGGACAAGGGAGAAAGACTTGGCGAATTCCCATCATGGGAAGACAGGACTTCTTTTATGATGGGTGCTTAGAATCTATTTGTCTTTTTCCTAATTTTAGGTCGCTGGGTACATATATACCTGCTAGTGAAGAAATAGAAGGTATTTTTGGTTTTGTGTTCCTGTAGGGTAAAAGCTGCTAATTTCCCATTGAAATCTTAGTAAGAGAACACTAGAAGACTTCCAGTTTGTAAAACTACCCATTCTTCTTTCACAGTGAATAATTAGGTTTCTTTTGAAACCATATGTAGGATGTTTTTTATAAGTTTCTGAGGCTTGACTTCAGATTGTTGTTTCTAGTATGTGGGGCAAAAGTTTAGTTGACCTAGTTAAGTTCTCTGTAATTTATGGTTGCTTTTAATTGAGCTTTCAGCAGAGAATGTACCTGGTTTTCAATTTTGACATTTGAGATTTCCTTATAAAAAGAATAAGGACTAATAATCAGGAAGTGCTTCAGAGTATTTTGTAGGTTGTCTCCAAGCATGATATGCTGTCACAACCTGATTCTCTTCCTAAAAGAAACCTTTATCAGGTTTGGGTTTTATTTTCTTTCAACTAAGTTAAATGTATTGATACATTTGGGATAAATTCTTACTGGATTTTCAAAATGGGTTGAGGAAAACTCTCCATAAGTTCTTTGTGGCACTTTACATGGACCTGGTAGAGACATACATGCTTTACCTCCTGGTCCTGTATTCAGCTCTAAGATAAGAAAGTACAGTATATCTCCTAAAGATAGATCTGTGTTTATCTAGACTTCATGAGAGAGGGAAACAGGAGTAGTTGGAAAAGAGGGCAGGAGTGTTGACTTGGGTGGGAATGTTGTAAAGTTTGGATTGCTAGAGAAGACTGAAGTAGGTGGCTATGTTGGAATAGTTGACTGTCCCTTGCCTGTAATAAAAAGGTGACTTAAGATTTTCACTGGAAACTTTTGTTGAGACAGCTATGCTTCTAAGCATAAATAAATTCCCCCCCCCCCAAGTTATAAACATGGATAACACTGTATCTGAGTATGAAATTTGGGTTTATGTTTCTCTTTTGAGTGAAAAAAATCTGGATAATCTTACTGAATTTTTTCTCTTGTAGACCAAGTGCCATTATCACTTGTAAACTTACTGCGCTCAAGAGTCTTACTTCTATATTCAGGTCTAAAGCAAATAAATTTCAGAGCATTGCTGTAACATAGTTACCTTTCCTTAAATGGATTAGTAGCTTCAGTCAGCTTGCCAATATTTGTGGCATTATTACCACTGACTTTGCTACATAAACTGCAGTTTTAAGCAAGCTTGTCAACAGTTGAATATTCTGTTTGAGTGATTTTGTGTAAGATAGTGTAGTTGAAGTCTTTAAAGTTTCCTGTACTTATTTTGTGTATTTGATGAAAAACATCTAGAATCTATAAGCTTAATATTTTCGAGAGACATCATATTGGCAACATTTCTAAGTTTTGGTAATGTTGTGGGTAACATTCCAATCCAGTGAAATCAGAATGCCTATGAAAGAACTTTTTTTTACATCATGAAGTCTGTTGACTTCAAAAGACCTCTTAGTCCACCTGCTTAGGTTTGGGTATTCTTCTCACAATGGTTTGTTGATTGGAAGGATGTAAAAAAGACAGAAAAGGGATTATTTTAGGAAACTTCTTGGGATCACTTTAAGAATGCTTTTAAAAGTTGAATTTCCATGCTTCAGATCATATTAAAGTAAGGATGATTCGGGCGCTAAAAGTACTGTCAAGTAAATATGCTTTTGCAAATTATGATATATATGAATTTAAATTAAAGCCACTAATAAAGTGCAAATACTTTTAACTTCTTGTTTTAAGCAAGGTCTCCAGATTGACTCCAAAGGCTAGTATTTAATCAGGGTGTTTGTTGACCACCTGAGTATTTTAAAGGCTTTCAACAACTGGCCAGTGAAAGTGGAGGCAGCACTTTGATTAAAAAAGAAAAAGAAGTTGTTCTTTGGATGCAGAGAAACCTTTTCTTTGTGATTTAAAATCCCTCCCAAATCTCATAACTGCATTTATAATTCTTAAGTCCTGGAATAAGAAGTTAGTTAAGTCTTCAGGGGCTTGACCCAGCTGGTGAATTTCAACTTTTTACATCTTTGAATAGCCTGTCTAGTATTTCACTCCCTTGTTGAAGTACTGTCAGAGGTAAAGTCACTAGATTTAGTCTGGTGGCCATAATGAAAATATTTACTAGAGAAGACTTAAATTGTTTTTAAGTGATGTTGCTTAAATTATAAGTGGAAGATGATTCTCTGAAAATTACAAGCTTTCACCAAGAATTCATTTGTGTTTTTCCTAACTTTTTAATAAAAGAGGAAAAATCTGTAATTTATTGTAAGTCCTAGGCACATGCTATCCAGTAGCAGAATGATTGGTTTTATATATTATCAAGAATTACATGTTTATCATTTTTTTTTCTTTTTTTACAATTAGTGAATTCTAATATAGCTGGATGAGACAGCAGAAGAGAAGTATTTTCTTTTTCCTTGATTTAATTTTTTCTGGTTAACTTATGTTTAGTTTAAAATTGTTACACCTTTCTGTTGTAAGCTTTTTAGATGATCATCTGAAAATGTTTTATATATATGTCTTCCTGTCTTGGTACATGTACCTACTTCTTTGGAAATTCTGCACTACATTGGGTTTGACCTATATTATTGTTTAGTAACATCACTGTGGAATGAGCAGGAATTGAAACATCATCTTAAATTCTTTCTATTGAGGTATAAATTCTTTGACTTATAATGTGTTGATTTCTGGTATACACCAAAGTGATTCCATTATACATACATATTCCATTATGTATAACATTATACATATGTATTTTTTTTCATAGTTTTTCCATTATGGATGATTATAGGATATTGAGTATAGTTCCTTGTGCTATACAACAGTAGGACTTTTTAAAAAAATCTATTTTATATGTAGTATTTGTGTCTGCTAATTGCAGACTCATAATTTATCCCTCTCCCACCTTCTTTCCCCTTTGGAATCATAAGTTTGTTTTCTACACAGTTGAGTTGTTATGTAAATAAATTCACTTGTAACTTATTTTAAGATCCCACATATAAATGATATATGGTATTTGTCTTTCTCATCTGACTTCACTTAATACGAATAATCTCTAGGTCTATCCACATTGCTGCAAATGGCATTATTTCATTCTTTTTAAAAACATCATCATCTTGAATGAAGGACTAGAAAGGAAGCTATATGTTTCAATAAATACTTCAGTGTTTGGTTCTTAATTGTGGATGTAGAAATAAAAGCATTTAGTTACCTCATGTGTTGTATAATGGAACTGTTGAGTGTGTGCTTGTGCTCCCACACTCTTCTTCAATTTAGTTTTTCTTTGTATTTCTCCTTTTCATATCTTAAGTTTTGTACTGCTATTTTGTTATGAATTCCTGGACCCATACTTAATTTTGCTCAATTTAGTTTTCATTTTCTTACCCTTGTACTTAGAAACGTTTGTAGTAAGTACCTGTAAAGAAAAAAAAATTTTCCAGATATTAAGTGTGTTTTTAGATCAACAGCTTGTGGGTTCTTACTGTTGTACTTTTTTTTTTTTAAACCTCATTCTTGGCTTCAGTTTGCTCTCCCTGTTCTTGTTTTATCTTCATGGGTTTTTTGTTTGTTTGTTTAATTTATTCTAAACTTTGTTGCATTTGTGTGATAGCTTCCTGAAGTCTGTTCTGATCAGAGTTGAGTAAAAGTAAACTCGATGTTCAGTTTAGTGAAAGAAGTTACTTGAATTTTGGATTGTCTTGATTGCAGTGACTTTGCTTTATTTCTGAGGAATTTCATCCTTTTGGAGTTTATGAAGACTTGACAGTATCATAACTAGCGTGTTTGTAGGTTTTGCTTTTTAAGTACTATGGAATGCTTTGTGTTGTAGCTCCTGCTTGAATTTGTTAAGTATACGCAGATGATGTTGCCAGGGATGGCAGTCAACTTGATTTGTCCTTATTTTCATGTTCCTTCTCCTCTCGCAGAATGATGGGAGTGAGAGATCTATTAGTTGGAAGCCTAACATCTAATCCTTCTTTACCGTAGACTAGCTTTGTTACCACTTTGCTAATAAAAATGAGGAAACTGATCTCCAAGGCTTAAACTGCTTTGAATTGTGACAATTCTATCTTTAACATTGATGGAGCTTTTCTCATCATCATCTTTTTGCATTTGGGGAATCTGAGGCAAAGTTCCCTGTGAGTCACTGGGATACCTTGAAACAAAATGGCTTTTTTGACTTTGACTTAGAGCTTTGATTCTTTTACTACTTGTGTCCCCCCAGCCCTTGCCACCCCATAATCCATTAAAATGATTATTGTATATTTTACTGGGTGTGATACATATGTGGGAATAATTCTATCATGTTCTTAGAGAAGTTACTTTGGAGCTAAGTGAACTTTGACTTGCCAAACACCTTGTTCTAATCTAATCACCTTTGATTGAATGCCCCAGGTTTTTCTGCTAGCATGCATATGACATCCAGTGGCTGAAATAGGAATTTGTGTTTTCTCCATCTTCTCCTCCTTCCCCCTTTTTTTCTGAGAAGTTACATAGGTAGTGAGAATTATTCTTGGTGCTTCTTGTATGATTCTGAAGGCAGGAAGTTAGGCAGCAGGAATTTGGGGGCTACTCATTTGCTGCAGATCTAGATGTTCCAGATATTTCCTGTTGCCTTCGGATTGGTGTTTTCATTCTGTAAAATTGAGCAGTTGTAAAATTGTACAGTTGACCCTTGAACAACACTGGGGTTAGTGATGCCCAGCCTCTCTCTCTCTCTCTGGATTCAGCCAACCACAGATCATAGTAACTGTTGAAAAAAATCTGCGTCTAAGTGAATGTGCACAGTTTAAAGCTGTGTTGTTTAAGGGTCAACTATATTCTTTTAAAGTGATCATTT